ACAACAGTCATACCATTCGAGAAGGGGGTAGAAGCTTTTTAGCCCCAGGCCTGTCGGAATAGCCAAGTTTTTAGCTGCCGTTCAGCAGTTCAAATCTCACCAGGCTCAAGGTTGACTCAGCCTTCCATTCTTCTGAGGTGGGTAAAATGAGGACCCAGATTGTTGGGGACAATATACTGACTCTGTAAACCACTTAGAGAGGGCTGTAAAGCACTGTAAAATGGCATATAAGTCCCCTCTGTTCTTCTCAGCTAAATCTTGCAACTGCTCTAAGTACTGGTCAGGATTACCCTGATCGAATGCTCCACAGCGAGTGGGGTGGCAGCCAACAGTACTGTAAAACATTTCATCGGTTTGGGCCAGCTGCAAAGCATCTTTGCTGTCTTGTAAATTTCCACCTGTGATGATGAGCTTTTGAACCCCAATTTTTACTGCTCTGTCTATGTAATCATCTTTATGTTTTTGGGTGCCTCTGTAAATACCTCTGAACATAGGATCGGTTAAGCAATTATTGCTATTGCTATTGCTATTTAGACCCAGTCCTGTCAAACTGGTGGCCCACCGGCCGGATATAGCCAGCGCAGGCCACACCCACCCTGACTCCGCAAAGGCAAAAAACATCCTGGTACATCACAATATGGCCCAATACGTCACAATACTGCCTGCAATGTGATTGGGTTTGACACCCCTGCTATAGTGTGACTACAAGCTGTCGGAGGGGGTGTGTGGCCAAGAGTTTCCTGTTTCTCTATTTGTCCTTGTTGGCGAGACATCAAACAAACCTTGTAGGAGATCTGAGCTTCATTGTAGATTGATTTCTGCTCCTGATGGAGCCTATTCTGAAAGGCATTCAGAAATTAAACTCTGGATGGGCAGTTTGTATGACAATATTAATGTTTTCTTTAAGGAACCTGATGACCCTGTAAAGATAAAAACTGTTCCCAAGAATATTGACTCATTTTGATTGGTAGCATCAGATAAGGGACCTATTCACTCACGTTTTCTACCAAAGGATCAATCTATTCAACTTTAAATGCATTTATATTTAATCAGTGCACAGCAAATACTCTTTCAACAAATTCAAATATTAATAAACCAACAAACTGTAAGGGTATGTTGACATAACACACCTGATTTGAGTACCCAATTAATTCATTAGCTTTATAGTTTTATAAAATATATTGAATAATATTGAATAATAAATTATAACATGGTTGGATTTGGGCAACAAGCTATCCCACAAGAAGTAAACCCAGATTATCATAAATCATTGGTCTAAAAAGCTCAGATGATCTTCCTTCAAAATGTGAAGCCAAAGGTAACATGCTTATTGTTGGTTTTTTTTAACAGCCCACATACTGGAATGCAAGCATATGACTCAGATGTGCCTAAGATTCCTACCGCCTGTATTTCCATTGAAGATGCAGAACTGATGGCCCGATTGTTTTCCCGGGGTACTAAAATAGTTGTAACTCTGAAAATGGGAGCCAAAACATATCCTGATGCTGATTCCTTTAACACAGTTGCTGAAATAACAGGCAGTAAATACCCTGAGCAGGTGAGTGACATTTATATATTTCATGCTTAGGGTACAACCTGAACATTTTATAAGATTTCAAAATTTCAAAGTCATTGGAATGCACCGAGGAGGACTGATGTTAAAAATTAGAATCACAAAATTGCTTTGCCGTGGAAAGCTAATTCCACAGAGTGGACTTTTTCCCTCGGTGTCTTCATCCTCAGATCTAGAAGTCAGTTGTTCTCTAGACTAGACTAGATCATTTAAGACAGGGGTGTTAAACTCGTGGCCCATGGATGTGTCACCCCCTGGCCACACCACGCTTTGCCTGGTTTAGCAAAGAGGGGGGAAAGTTGCAATAAGTCATGTGACACCACCATGACGACACAAGTCTGACACCCCTGATTTAAAAAAAGAAAAAGAAAATTAGAGCAACATCCAGTTTTGTTCACCACGATGTAAAAAATATGTTTACACTCTAGAAAGAGTACAGAGAAGAGCAACAAAAGTTGATTAGGGGACTGGACTCTAAAACATATAAAGAACAGTTTCAGGAATTGGGTATGTCTAGTTTAGTGAAAAGAAGGAGTAGGGGTGATATAATAGTAGCAATAGCAATAGCAGTAGACTTATATACCGCTTCATAGGGCTTTCAGCCCTCTCTAAGCGGTTTACAGAGAGTCAGCATATTGCCCCC